AAAAATCACAGGGTGGCGTGATTTCTTTTCATAAGCATCTAGTGATAGAATAATCAAATGACAAATCACAGGGTGGTGTGCTTTCATTTCACAACCATCTAGTGATAGGATAATTAAATGACCAATCACAGGGTGGTGTGATTTCTTTTCATAAGCATCTAATGATAGGATAATCAAATGACCAATCACAGGGTAGTGTGCTTTCATTTCATAAGCATCTAGTGATAGGATAATCAAATGACAAATCACAGGGTGGTGTGCTTTCATTTCATAAGCATCTAGTGATAGGATAATTAAATGACTAATCAACGGGTGGTGTGATTTCATTTCAAAAGCATCTAGTGATAGGATAATCAAATGACCAATCACAGGGTGGTGTGATTTCTTTTCATAAGCATCTAATGATAGGATAATCAAATGACCAATCACAGGGTGGTGTGCTTTCATTTCATAAGCATCTAGTGATAGGATAATTAAATGACTAATCAACGGGTGGTGTGATTTCATTTCAAAAGCATCTAGTGATAGGATAATCAAATGACCAATCACAGGGTAGTGTGCAGCCTTTTTTTAAGGATCCGATCAGAGTACAAATCAAATGCTCAAAATCAGGAGGGTGCGTGCATGTGGCATGTTCGATTAGGTAAATTTAAAATGTTAATGACAGCACCAAGTGGCAAACTCACATGAAATTTCAACTGAACTTTACTTCGCAATGTTCGTTCAAAAAAGTGTACAATAAAGTTATTTACAAAATTTAGCCTTGAAGCTAAGCGTCTCAGACAATAACTTTACTGTATGTGGACATAAATTCTGGCATTTTGTCGATGTCCTGATAATGTACTACTACCGTTATATGCATTTCCACTACTAGCTCATATAAAGCCATGGGAAGTTGAAGACGAAATATTTTTAATATACGAGAGAAAAAGAAGTTACGAAAAATGTATTTTATTTGGTCACATTGAACTGATACGTGTCCTTGACAGTTTCGTGAACAAACACTTACATGTAGTTATCAAAAATAAACGTACGAACACAGAGGAATCTTGATAGAGAAAAAACAGTTGCCTTATCAGAGTACGTAGAACGTAATACATGCAAGTTGAGCAAACTGAATAACATGTTTTACTTCTGTGGCAGCTAGAAAATACATATGTAAATATAGTATACAAATTTACAGTAGATATGAATGGCAGTCACATTAGCTTTGAAAGTTATTACTTGGTAAAGTATTTTATTTTTGTCCTGTTGATCCAAATCCACCAACACCACGTTCAGAATCATCCAGTTTCTGTGAAGACAAAAAAAAAAAATTGTTATGAGCAGATTGGATCACTTTAGTGCAACCGAAATGATTATGTGACATGCCATGTGACACACTTGAATGAAGAAGAGTAGCAAAGCATCACATCTATAATGGAATTAATTCAATAACACAAAATTAACAGTAACACATGAATATCTAACAAAAACATTCAATATAATCATAGTTTCACAATATATCACAAGATTACATACACTGAAAACATTTTGTCTTGTGAATTAAAACCAGCGTGCCCTCTGATAGGACTAATTTTTAGGAACTAGGAAGACATCAAGCAAAAATACAAATTTTTGTTTTTTTTTGATTTATCTCGATAAAAAATATACAGTTATAGTAAAATATTTTTCAAGATCAATGTATGATTTTATGTTGTGTTAACTTATTATATTTTGCTATAAATTTTTAACCAAGAAGTTTGAAAACTAAACTAAACAAAGTAAATGTTTTTTAAAACTATTGCCATAGAGGGCGCTGTTTTTTAAAAATAAAGTTTATAGTAGGAATGATTTATACTTGACATTAATCAGGAATAAAACAAAATAAGTGATTATTCTCCAAAATCAAGTTTATAGAATTGTAGGGGAACATCTCTCTCAGCTGCTAATAAATTTATGTATTGTGTAATCTTCAAGTTCCTACATGTAAACTATTCAATGACATTTTCATATGCATGGTATGAAAACTTATGTTGGGGGTGTGGGAGGGGTTCCTTTGATACTCGCCTCACATTCTTCTAATTCTGGCATATATATCTTCTCGCATATCAGCTGTGCTATCCTATCACCTTTCTTTACTGAGTAATAAAAAAAATATCTTTAAGTTAGTGTAGTGTAGTGTAGTGTAGTGTAAGGCACGAGTCAAATTGAATGATTTAATATACAACAAACATTTGATATTAAAATGAATACGCTAACTCTCTTGAATTTATGAAGTTATTTAAAAAGCCATGCATGGCACAGTCCCTGTTAGTTATCAAATTTAAGATGTATAGTTTTGTTTATAGTAATATAGTTTGAACATAAACATGTCAGAAGTATGGATCCAGGAGATGATGCTTGATTATGATGATTTTTAACATTAAAATGATTGACATTCGGTCATCTTGTATCTGATACTTCATATTGAGAGATATTGCCGTAGAACCACATTCATTAAAACAAAATGGCCACCAGTCAGCCATTTTGAATACATCTGTATATCTCTGTCATGATGTATAACGAATATATAAAATCTGAACATAATCAGTTCAAAGCATGTCGAAGATATAAGGCCTGAGAAGCACATTCATTAAAACAAAATGGCCACTAGTCAGCTATTTTGAATCCAATATGAAAAATTAAATTATGTGCATCAAGGTCCCATAATGTCCAACGTATGTACCAAGTTTGAACAAAATCCATCCATGCTTTATTTTAATAGTTTTTTTAGCACAAAACTGGCCACCACATGAACAGCCTGAAAACGGTAATAGTTGCCACAGGCAGTTACTAATCATACCATATCACCATTTCTTTCTTAAGGTGGCTATGAGAAAAAAAAAAAGGAAAAACATTATATTGTATACTGTCTGAATCATTGTTTAAAATTTACTGTGCTCAATGCTTTTTGTGCATAATTTTAGTTTATTTTTACGTTCTCCATACATTTACATAGCAGGTTGAGTCGCGGGCTGAAAACAAGGGATTTAATTTGCATATACTAGCTGATTTGTTGATCATCCAGCTTTATTATATCCTGTATAATCTGAGCATTATGCGATCACATTCAGAGTACAAAAAAATATTCTGGGCATAGTATTTTAAGCTTTTCTTAGCTTTTTTTTTTAATAAGAGTTGCTTTTTTTTCTGGGTTGACTTGGTTCATCACTTAAACATTTTCCTATCATATCAGTGTTTGTTCGTTCACCAAAGATACATGTATAGACAGTGTTGTACGAGACCTAATAACAAATAGGCTTGTACGCATGTTGACGTAATGTGTCACATCGATGTTGATTATTCTGTATCAAGGGGCCAGCGACGAAAAAAGATGAACACAGAATGTTTAAATTGATTTGTCATTATATTGTGTTCATATTTTAAAGTGTCTATGTTAAATGATAATTTCAAAAAACAAAATCGTGACAGTGGCATCATATACATATATGCATAAACATAATTTCTATAACGACACGCACTCCAGTATTGAGACACTGATATACAGTGTAACGTACACTAGTTGACGCTCGCCACACATTACATAAAATAACAACCACACGTGAATCTCTGTTCACCATAGCCAACTATACGTTTATATTGTTTATTTGAAGTCGAATATTTAATGCTAAATTGCTTATAACATGGTTTCCATGGTTATAACAAATCAGATAATGGTACACTCCACAGACAGAGAGTAAGGCATGTTTATCCTGTAATTAAACGCATGTTGTCACGATGGCCGCCCTGTGTTTAGAGAACCGATTATACTGTTGGAGCTGTTTAACATAGCAAAGGATCTTGAATGAATGAGTTGAGCATTACGCCATCTTGTTGACTCTTAGCATCCACTTACGATGAGATTACTTTGCAACTTTCTAGAAAATAGCATACCAATTGTTCACCTATAAGAGTCATCGTATATCAGAAACGTGTATACCCCGGTACAGTGTATGTACGAATTCTGATCGAAATGATACATTTGGAAATTAATCTGTTTATAATGAAACGTTTTATGGCGTTTTTACTGAAACTACTTTTTGACTATTCGACTATTGAAAATGCCATCTTTCAACACTTCCTTTTACGCTAACAATGCACAAATTACATCACGAAATGGGCTAAAAAATGATATCTCATAGGTGTTCTTGCAAGTGGCTAACTTTGAGTTCTGGCTTTAAGATCACGGATACATTCATGAAATTTAGTCCACAAAGTTTGCAGACTATATTTCCATAACTACGAAGCACATAAATCCTGAGACCCAGTTTCCAAGATCATTATCTCATAAAGCAACACTGGAAAAAAATCAAACTCGTAGAAAAACCGAACAAAGAGAAACTGCCAATCTCGCGTAAGAACCTTATTTTTAAAAGGTTCACGAGAATGTCTGTGACATTATTCCCAAATCATATAATAACACAAAAATTACATGTTTGTATTCTCCCGTATCTCAGCTTTCCGAAAAAAACATATACATAGCCATGGCTAATCACAATGACGCTAATAGTCCCTTTTCCCCCCTCTCGCTACCTTTTAAAAATGACACTGAAAACTCAATCACATCCAAATCTACAGTACTGATCAGTAAAGTTTGGCTATTGGCAAGAAATTGGTGATGCAGATATACTCTGACAATACGGTATAATATTTGACATGGCAAACGCTTCAAATAAAATTTTGCCAACAAAACAACTTTCTTGTGGGGCACATGCACATTGAACTATAGTTTTGCAAGATGGCTATCAAATTTTCTAACTAATTAGCAATCTAGTTAGATTTGCAAAAGTGTTGGCATGTACACTTAGAACGAATGGTTTGGGTGTGCAAGCAATTTGGATTGTATCATTATCAAAGATGGGGGAAGAGAAAACGCGTTAATAAACAAAATAAATGCATATTCAATGTAGTAATTCACATAATAAACTTTATTTAAAATGAAAAGGATTTTTATGCCAAGTTAAAATACAAATTAAGAGTTTCATTGATCTGTGCTCTTTGAAAATGGAACAAGTCCACAAGCTGCTGAATTTAAAAGTACTGTAAAAACTTGATTAATTCGCGGTCTCTATTAGTTCGCGCACACATTTTATTTTCGAACGCTAATTTTTAAATGTATCCTATTAATTCGCGGGCCAGAATAAAGTGGATAACTCAGAATATATCGCATGAAGACAT